CCAGTGGGAACTGCAGCCCCGTCGTAGCAAACTCCAATAACCCCCACCAGGCCCACCCCCAGCCATAGTTCCTGAGCATGCCAATATGTGCAGCGGACTAGTACAGTCTGTCCCACATCCCATCTGACTCTCATACACATCAATGGGTGCTGCAGCCTAACTCAGCTTGACTGGCTCCATTACCCAGCCCACACTTACGCTGGTGGATGCACCACTTCTCCAGTGAGGCCTGACCCCAGACCTGTTTCTCATGCTCACCAGTGGAAGCTGCAGTCCATCAGCGAGGTGTCCACAGTTCCTTACTGGGCCACCTCCCATTCCTGGATCTTGTACTCCACAAGTAGTTCTGCAGTCTAACTTGACCGGATTTGCCCCCGTTCCCAGCACTTGCCAGCTGATGCTGAGGCAAAGCCCGATCAGCCTGCCTTTACTCTGACTCATGGCTGTGCCAGTGGATACAGTTGCTTATCCCAGTGTGGCTCTCCCCCTTACCCAGCTCACATGTAGACCAACAGGTGTTATAGCCATTCCCAACCTGATCTGCCTGCCCTCAGTTCCAACTCTCACTCTCACCAGTGGGAGCAATGGCCCAACATGGGTGCCCCCCATGGCTTCTCTATTGGGCTAGCCGCCCCCCTACCCCAGGGTATTACATGTACATGTCACAGCCCAGTCTGGTGTGGCTTGCCTCACCTCAGCATTTGCCAGTGGGTGCTGAGGCTTGGCTTGACTCGACTGTCTACAGTTCAGCTCACGTTGGTGGGTGCTGCAGTCTAGCCCAGCCTGGACTGCCCTCAGTCTCAGCCCTAATGTGAACTGGCTACTGTTGTGGCCCAGTTCGGCCTGTTCTGCACCCCATTCTGGTTCTTGCATTTGCCAGTGGGTGCTAAAAACTGGCCTGACTTAGCCCACCCCCAGACCTGACCCACACGTATATATATGACAGCAAGTAGTGTAACCTGGCCTGGTTTAGGCTGCTCCCAGCCTCGGTTCTTGCACGTATTTTCAGGGACTGCGTTCTGACAGAGGAATTCAATGTTAACTTCTGTGTTGGATTCTGATTCTGAATTATCTCATTAGTTCTGGCAACCTAGTGCCCTTTCATATGCAAATATAGTACTGATGGATTATAAAATGTTCCCTCCAGAATCAGCTCCATAAGACAAGATCCACCTCTCTGCTCTGTTCTATTCTCTTATAAGCTCTTGGTCATTTATTCATCCATGTAATTTGTAAGTCTATTACTGTGAAAGAATGTGATATGCCTTCCTTCGATTCAGATGTTCTCGTATATACTAAGACTGATTTTATAGCTTTCTTACTGCAGCCTCTACCTTTTAAAAAATGCCCCTTGTGCGTCACTTCTTTCCTGTAACCAGCTCATTGAGTGTTGACAGAGCATGAATAAGCAGGTGCCAAGTACCGGTTTCCATCTCTGCATTTAGAGCAGGAAGGGGCCTGCACGTGGGCGGAGACTGAGGCTGCCTGCCGCCCCGCCTTCCACCGCCAGGGGGCGGTGCAGGGTCACTGCCTCCTAGAGTGGCAGGCAGGTGCATGTCCATCCTCTACATCCCACCTTTCTTTCTTTCTTTCTTTCTTTCTTTCTTTCTTTCTTTCTTTCTTTCTTTCTTTCTTTCTTTCTTTCTTTCTTTCTTTCTTTCTTTCTTTCTTTCTTTCTTTCTTTCTTTCTTTCTTTCTTTCTTTCTTTCTTTCTTTCTTTCTTTCTTTCTTTCTTTCTTTCTTTCTTTCTTTTTTTCTTTCTTTCTTTCTTTCTTTCTTTCTTTCTTTCTTTCTTTCTTCCTTCCTTCCTTCCTTCCTTCCTTTCTCTTTCTTTCTTATTTATTTATTTTTATTGGAAAGGCAGATATACAGAGAGGAGGAGAGACAGAGAGGAAGATCTTCCGTCCAATGGTTTACTTCCCAAGCTGAGCCCATCCAGAGCTAGGAGTCAGGAGCGTCTTCCGGGTCTCCCACGTGGGTGCAGGGTCCCAAGGCATTGGACTGTCCTCGACTGCTTTCCCAGCCAAAAAGGGAACTGAATGGGAAGCGGGGCTTTGGGGATTAGAACCATGGGATCCTGGCGTGTTCAAGGTGAGGACTTCAGTCATCGGCCACCGCGCTAGACCCCAACCTACCTTTCTAGTGCACCCAGGGAAGCAGTAGATGATGGCATGAGTACTTAGGTCCCTACTACCCATGAGTGAGACCCTCATGGAGTTTCAGCCTCCTGTTTTCGGCTTTGCACACTTCCAAGCGTTGTGAGCATTGAAGAAGTGAAACAATGGATGAAAAATCTCTCTCTTTCTCTCTCTCTCCCTCTCTGTTACTCTGCTTTTCAAGTAAATAAATAAATGTATTAAAATGGTAAGTTTTGGGAGTCAGTGTGACAGCTCAACTGGCTAATCCTCCACCTGCCAGCACCGGCATCCATGTGTGCACTAGTTCATGTTCTGGCTGTTCCACGTCCCTTCCAGCTCCCTGTGAATGGCCTGGAGGGAAAAGAAGGAGGATGACCCAACACCTTGGGACCCTGTGTTCACGAACAAGACCTGGAGGAAGCTCCTGGCTCCTGCTTTATGATTGGTTCAGTTCTGCCTATTGAGGCATTTGGGAAATGAACCAGTGGATGATGGATCTTCCTCTCTGTCTCTTCTTTGGGTCTGCCTTTCCAATAAAGATAAAGAAATTTTTTATTGTAAATTTATGCTGTATGTTTTAATACATTCACAGTCAAAATTGACCATTTAAAAGAATATTAGCTATAAATATATATTAACTATAAATATATATTAACTATAAATCCATTTCTGTTGCTTTTTTGTGTGTCATGGCGTCATGAAACAACTTTTTGCATTATGGGTGACTTACTTTGAAAGTTCGCATGAACTTCTGCAAGGAAGAAATTATTTGCCTACTTCTGTAGTGCCGCCTATGTGATTTGACATTGCTTGAGTTCATTACAAAAATTCACTGATGGCCTAATAGGTAGATTAAATAGTATAAACTATAACCATCTTAATTTAAATTGTAAAATACAGAGCTTTCTGCAACCTATCAACCAGCAGGTTTTCCTAGGCAAAGCCTTCATTTTAAACACATTGAAATCACTGTCGAGGGCTATAGGTTATTTTTGCTAAGAGATTAATAAGAAATCTTTTTTGGGGGCCCAGCACAATGGCCTAGTGGCTAAAGTCCTCGCCTCGAATGTGCCAGGATCCCATATGAGCGCCGGTTCTAATCCCAGCAGCCCTGCTTCCCATCCAGCTCCTTGCCTGTGGAAAGCTGGGAGGATGGCTCAAAGCCTTGGGACCCTGCATGCATGTGGAAGATTTGCAAGAGGTTCCTAGCTTTAGATCGGCGCAGTCCCAGCCATTGCAGCCTCTTGGGGAGTGAATCAACAGATGGAAGATCTTCCTTTCTGTCTCTCCTCCTCTCTAGATGTCTGGTTTTCCAGTAAAAATAAATAAACCTTTAAACAGAAAGGAAAAGGAAAACGCAGAGAGAGGAGAGACAGAGATCTTTTATCCACTGTTCATTCCCCAAACGTCCACAACTGGCTTTGAACCAATCCAAAGCCAGGAACCAGGAGCTTCTTCTGGGTCTCCCACATGGGTGCAGGGTCCCAAGGCTTTGGATCAACCTCTGCTGCCTTCCCAGGCCACAAGCAGGAAGCTGGATCTGAAGTGGAGCAGCCAGGACAGGACCCAGTGTCCATGTGGGTTTCTGGCACCGTAGGCAGAGGCATAACCTATTACACTACGGTGTCAGTCCCTGGCGATTTTTTTTAAGACTTATTTATTTATTTATCTATCTGAAAAGCAGAGAAACAGAAAGAGAGAATCTTCCATCCACTGATTGACCCTCCAAATGGTCACAACAGCCAGAAGTCCATGATCAAGCTGCTGGCAGGGCTGTGCGTCCTCCAAAGTCTCGCAGGAGGAGGGGGGCCTGCCCTCCTTCCGGCTCCCAGTGGCTGCTGGAATCCTCCTGGCCTTGCCTAGCCTTCACATGGCTTCGTGTGAGGATGCTGGTTACGGGCTGCGAGCCTAATCCAGCCCAATACGACCTCATCGTGGCTAATGACACCTGCAGCTACATTAGAAAAGTGACACTTCGAAGTTCTGAGTGGACCTGATATTTGGAGGAACTATTATTTAACTCAGGAAAGTTAATCAAGCTTTCAATAAATATAATTTGTATTGATATTATAGTGAATTTATGTATTAATTTATGAAAGTTGATTATAACATTAAACCATTACATTTGAGAGATTATATGCCTTTTTATAGATAATCCTTATATGTTTTTATTAAAGATTTTTTAAAAGATTTATTTATTTTTATTGGAAAGTCAGATTCACAAAGAGAAAGAAAGACAGATCTTCCACTTGCTGATTCACTCCCCAAGAGACCACAACAGCCAGAGCTGTGCTGATCCAAACCCAGGAGCCAGGAGTTTATTCCAGGTCTCCCACACAGATGCAGGGTCCTAAATCCCATATGGAATCCCAGCACAGGCATGGCAGTGACTTTAACCACTAGGCTACCACACTGGACCATTATTATAGTTTTAATATATGGGCCTAATGCAATGGCTTAGTGGCCCAAATCTTCACCTTGAACCTACAGGGATCCCATATGGGCACCAGTTCATATCCTGCCTGCTCTGCTTCCCATCCAGCTCCCTGCCGGTAGCCTGGGAAAGCAGTGGAGGACGGCCCAAAGCCTTCATGTGGGACCCTGCATTCACGTGGGAGACCCGGAAGAGGCTCCAGGCTCCTCACTTTGTTTTTTTGTTTTGCTTTGTTTTTATTTTATTTGGGACTCCCCCAAAACTCCCACCCGCCAACAGATTTTCCCCAAGTTGCTACAATAGTATAGTCCTTCATTAGGAGTCATGATTCCATCAGTCTGTTATTTAAGTGTGCCCCGACATTGCTGGGACAGTGTCAGACAGTCTGGCATCCCATTGTCTACACATTTCCAGCAGTTTCACTGGGAGTCCATCTTTCGTCTGGAAGCAGGGATGCATGTTGCGTTGTACCTTCACATCTGGATAAGGTAGACCCCACTACTCCATCACTCTACATTTCCATAAACGAGAAGCCGTGAAACAAGGTCAACAGCTGGTATGAATTAGGACAACAGGCTTCTCCCTTTGGGTGAGCTCAGCTCTGGCTGTTGTAGCTGCCTGGGCAGTAAACTACTGGATGGAAAGATCTTTCTCTGAGTCTCCCTCTCTCTGTTAAAAATCTGATCTGCTGGGCCCAGCGCGGTAGCCTAGTAGCAAAAGACCTCACCTTGCATGCATTTTCTCTCAGACTTTCTTTCTCTTTGTAAATCTACCTTTCCCACAAAAATAAATAAATCTTTAAAAAAAAAAAAAAACTTGTCTCCAAAAAATAAAGAAAGAAAATTTTAAAGTATTTTCTATCCAGGTCTCATATATTGTTGGTTACGTCCTTGATACTTTCTGATTCTGTGGATATTAACATTTGCATCCTATTCTTTTTAAAATAAGCTAATCTTTCCCCGCACATGTGCAGGGAGCTGGCTCTGACACGGAGCAGCTGGAACTGGGGCCCTAATGTATATTAAGTTGCAGAAGACAGCTTTAACCCTCTGAGCCACACTGCTAGCCCGTGTTAGGGTTAGCATTAGGACATTAAGCAAATGATGCTCTTATTTTATTGTTTGCATTTAAACATTTATTTTTTTTCTAATTATTTAATTGGAAAAGCAAATTTACAGAGAGAAGGAGAGACAGTGAGAGAAGGTCTTCTATCTGCTGAATTCCTCCTCAAAAGGCTACAATGGCTGGAACTGAGCCAATTTGAAGCCAGGAGCCAGGAGCTTCTTCCAGGTATCACACACAGACTCAGGGTCCCAAGGCTTTGGGCCGTCCTGACTGCTTTCCCAGGTCACAAGCAGGGAGCTGGATGGGAAGTGGATCAGCCAGGATACAAACCAGTGCCCATATGGGAGCCTGACAAATGCAAGGGAAGGACTTTAGCCACCTAGGTTATCGCACCAGGCCCTCTCATTTTAAAAATAGCCTCTCGCGGGGGCAGCCTAGTAATTACACCGTGGGTGGATCTGGGCAGATGCAGGACCCTGGCTCTGCCCACCACTGCCATCTTGGTGGGGGAAGCCCATAGGACATCTGGTGCCAGAGCAGAGAATGGAGGACAGAACATATGGGCAACTACCCCAGGCAAACCTTGACAGCAATGATCTGGGCGAATGGAGACCATAAGGTTGACGGTGTCAGCCAAAGGACGTTGGAAGGGTTTCCTCATCCGTTGATCGGTGAAATCGACAACATTTTGAAACTATCAAATCTACCTGGGCAGAACCTTCTGAACATGCGCCATTGTGACTCTGGGTTGATATCGGCTGGCCCTTCCCCATCCTAGGGTACTGGAATGGCCTATCCCCTCTCTCCCCCTCCCCCAGAGATGGGAAGAAGAAATAGAAAGCTTGGAAACAATGATCACACCCACTTCTCCCTAACCTTAGATCCTTCCCACCCTGATTGACTATGTAAACATCAACTAAAAAAAATTTTTTTTAAATTTTCTAAATAAATAAAAATAAAATGGGCCGTTGATTGGGAACTTTCAGAAGGATTGGGGGGCTCATAAAGTTCAGCTTGAGGGATTCAAGGATTGTACGCCTAATCCTGACAATGCCATGCCTGCTGTGAGCACTGGGGCCTCAGAGTTTCTGGCCTTAAATGCAAGTATTGTCCCAGGTTGTCCCTGAAGAGCACGGGATAGAGTTTCCAGAGCCCCCAGGAGGCCCCCCCACAGGCTCTTCTTTTAGAGGAAGGGGCTGCAGAGCAGGAGAGCTGGCCTTGGAGTTCCTCAGCCGCCGGCCTTGGGAACTGTGCTTGACACCTTTGCTGCACATCTTCTGAATTTCCAGAGCTCGTGAGCCAGGGGGCATGAGGGGAGGGGTAGCCTTTACGCTTTAGGGCCCCGCAGGGCTGGATGCCTGACCCTAAGTGAGATGCATCCAGAGGGGCCAACAGGTGCCCAAGCGGACCTGCTCCCTGGAGGAGGACTCCTTATCCCCCAGACCTGAGTCATCGCTAAGCCGTCCTAGCCGGAAGCTTCATCTGAAAGTCACCTGGATGCGGGGAATTTTAGCTCCTTCAGGAAAGTCCCATTAGCTGGACATGGCCCAGGCTAGCTTCCCGCTGACAACAACCTCTGCCAACCCCCGGCTGCAGTTTTGCTTTCCCTTTACCCAGCGGGTGGAGCGCCACGTGAAGGTGATTCATGGCATGGGAGCTGCTGATTTTCATCTTGAGACCTTCGTGGTGAGCCTGCAAACTCAGACTTCCAGGAAAGGGAAACTTGTGAGCCGATGCAGGGGCCGGGGTGGGTCGAACCCCAGGCACGTTCGCCCTCCAGCAGCCAGGCACACCCGCCATCCAGCCCCCCACTTGCCCCTCTGCCTCGCCTCTCTGGCCTCATGTCTACCCCAACGCACTCTCAGCTGTTACATCTTGAGCACTCCGTGCCTGCCCTCTGACGGTCCCTTCCTCTTTGCTGGCCCAAAAGTCCAGCGCAAATGTCCCCTCCTCTCTTCCCTGCTCCCAGGGTCATCTTCCTCTCGCATTCTCCACTTTCTCCTCTTTATTAATCGATTTTGGAATTTTCTTAAAAAAATATATATTTTTCTGAGATGTAAAACACACCAGGTGTATTCATCTTTTTGTAATGTGCAGGTCACTGGTTTTAGGCTATTCACAAAGGTGTGCAGACATCACTGGAAAATTTTCCACCCCCTAAAAGGAAATCCCTCATCCCTTAGTTGCCACTTTCCATTTCTCCCCTGCCCAGCCCCCAAACCTGCTAATCTACTTTCCATCTCTCTGTATGTGTCTGTTTGAACATTTCATATGAATGAGTCATGCGGTGCGGCTATTTACAACACACTTCCTTCTCTGAACATTATTGCTTTCTTTGTCTTTTGTTTGCTTTTCATTGGAGAGAGAACATTCCCATTTCCTTGCCCTCAGCAGCCAGGACTGGGCTGAGTCCAAGCTGGGAGCCGGGAGCTTAATCCAGGTCGCCCCTGGGGGTGGCTGGAACCCAATATCTGAACCATCACTGCTGCCCCCCAGGGATGCCCATCAACATAAAGCTGGAATCTGGAGCTAGAGCCAAGTGGCTGATGGGACGTGCAGGTGTCTTCACTGGTGTGTTGACTGCTAAGCCAAATGCCTGCTGTCATAACGCTTTCAAAATCCACCTGTATTGCCACTTTATTCCCTTTGTACAACCAAATAATATTGCATTGCAAGGACATACCATATTTTCTCCCTCACTTTTTTTTTTAAGATTTATTTATTTTTATTGGAAAGTCAGATATACAGAGAGGAGGAGAGCCAGAGGAAGACCTTCCTTCCATCTGCTTATTCACTCCCCAGGCAGCGCAACCACTGGAACTGAGCTGATCCAAAGCCAGAGCCAGGAGCCTCTTCTGGGTCTCCCATATGGGTACAGGATACCAAAGCCTTTGGCCATCCTCTACTGCTTTTCCAGATCACATGTAGGGAGCTGCAAGGGAAGCAGAGCAGCCAGGATACAAACCAGTGTCCACATGGGAACCCCGGGCATGCAAGGTGAAGACTTCAGCCACTAGGCTACCACACTGGGCCCCCGAGTTTTTTCATTCATTCCTGATTGGTGGGCGTTTGAGTTGCTTCCTCTTTGGAGCTGTTACGAACAATCTAACAACAGAGCAGCTTAGTATGAACATGTACTTTCAGTTCCCTTGAGCAGACAAAGCGGGGTTGCTAATCATACATGAACTCTACTCAACTCTCTGAGCAACCAACATTGTTTTCCAAAGCAACACTTTTTTTTTTTTCTAAATCAAATGTTAAAAAACTGTTTTTGTTGCAGAGCACTCCTACTCCATGTAAGCGTTCTCATTCATCCGGTCGCCCCAACCCCACCTCAGTCCTCCCCTCCAGGGTAACCTCTCCTGTCCTTCGCCTTCTTCAGGCCACAAGCAGGGAGCTGGAAGGGAAGTGGAAAAGCCAGGACACAAACTAACTCTCATATGGGATCTTTGCAGATACAAGGCACAAAGTTAGCCAATGAGCCGTTGTGTCAGGCATATTTATTTATTTGAAAGATAGTTACAGAGACAGAGGGAGGAGGAGGAGGAGAGAGAGAGGGAGAGAACTTCTACCTGCTGGAAGAGAGAGATCTTCTATCTCCTCAAATGATCACAACAGTCAGAGCTGGGCCAGAACAAAGCCAGAGCCTGAACCTTCTTCACCCAGGTCTCCCACATGGTACAGGGGCCCAAGCACTTTTACTGTCATGCATTGATTTTCTCAAGCAAATTAGCAGGAAGCTGAGTTGGAAGTGGAACCGCTGGGTCTTGAATCAGGCAGTGGCTTAATCCACTATACCACAATACAGTCCCCTGAATTAAAATTAAAAATTAAAATTAAAAATTAAAAGTTTTAACAGATGATTCCTCCATTTTTTCTTCAACAGATTTCTTCCTTCCTCAAAGGAATACCTTCATTGGGAATGAGGGAGAGCTTGGGAAGAGAGCAGATGTTTGGGGCAGGAGTAAAGATGCCGCATGGGACACGTGCATCCCGTATCAGTGCCTGGTTTGTGTCCTGGATCCTCTCTGCTTCCAAGCCAGACTCCTGCTGATGTGAACCCAGGGAGGCAGCAGGAGGTGGTGTAAATGCATGGGTTCCAGACACGCACATGAGAGACCAGGGTCAGTTTTGGACTTCTGGCTTCAGATCGGCCCAGCTCTGGCCGTTGAGGAGTGAATCAGATGATGCAACATCTTTCTCTCTGACTCTCTGTCCTACAAACATGTTTGCTATAAAAGATTTACTTATTTTTATTTGAAAGGCAGATTGACAGAGAGGGGAAGATCTGGCTGACTCCCCAAATGACTGTAAAAGTCGGAGTTGAGCTGATCCGAAGCCAGAACTTCTTTCCAGGTGTGCTATTCGAATGCAGGCTCCCAAGGCTGTGGGCCGTCCTCTGCTGCTTTCCCAGGCCACCAGCAGCGAGCTGGATTGGAAATGGAGCAGCCGGGAGGAGAACTGGTGCCCATTTGGGATCCCAGCACTTGAAGTTGGAGGATTAGCCATTGAACCATAGCACCGGCCCCACAAATACATTTTTAAAAAAACTTGAAGAAAGAAAAAAAGCACAGAATATAAGAACTCAGGGAAACATGGAAAAGCTGAAGAAAATACCCAAAGCATAAATGCCTAGTGTATTAAAACCTCCAAAAGGACTAGATGTTGTTTTATTTTGCTTTGTTGCATTCTGTTTTCTAGTTTAGGTGGGGTTTTTTTTTTCATTTATTGTATATACATCTTTTAAAAGATCTATTTATTTTTATTACAAAGTCAGATATACAGAGAGGAGGAGAGACAGAGAGGAAGATCTTCCACCCGATGATTCATTGCCCAAGTGACTACAATGGCTGGTACTGTGCTGATCCAAAGCCAGGAGCCAGGAACTTCTTCCAGGTCTCCCACACAGGTGCAGGGTCCCAAGGCTTTGGGCCATCCTCTACTGCCTACCCAGGCCACAAGCAGGGAGCTGGATGGGAAGTGGAGCTGCAGGATTAGAACCAGCACTCATATGGGATCCTGGCGCGTTCAAGTCGAGGACTTTAGCCACTAGGCCATCATGCCACTGGCCTACTGTATATTTTTAAAAAAGATGTATTTCTTCATTTACTTGAAAGAAGAGATGCAAAGAGAGAGGGAGAGACAGAATCTTCCATCTGCTGGTTTATTCACCAAATAACAGCAATAATCAGGCTGAAGGTGAGAGCCAAGAGCTCCTTTGGAATCTCCCCTGTGGGTGCAGGGGCCCAGGCACTGGGGGCCTTCTTCCACTGCCTTCTCAGGCTCATGAGCAGAGATGGACACAGCGAAGCAGCAGGAACGTGAACTGGTGCCCATGCAGAACGTTGCTGTTATCCCAGGGCGGTGAATTTACCTGCAATGCCACAATGACAGCTTTCATTAAAAAAAAAAAAAAAAAAAAAATTCTTGGCAAATTTCAAGCACGCAGTGTACTGTGATAAACCATCGTCTCTTTGTGGATCACTATCTCTGCAGAGCTCACTCATCTCGTAACTGAAAGTGTGTGCATGCCCTGTGGCCAGCATCTCCCATTCCCACACTGTGAGCACCTGCTAGGCACTCCTCTGCTCTCTGTCTCCTCGAATTTGACTTTTTTTTAGATTCCCCTAAGAAATGACATCATGTAGCATTTCCTTTCTCTGTCTGGTTTATTTCACTTGGAGTAATGTCCTCCACCTGGATCCCTGAACAATGTCCTAGTAGATACACATATATACAATGTAACTTTAAGTGTATCTTATAGTTTCTCTACCCATTCATCATTGGTAGAGACTTGAATTGTTTCCACACCACGATCAGTGCTGCAATGAGCATGGTGCTTACACTGATTTTCTGAATCACCAAAAATGAGATCAAAAGATTATACGACAGCACTAGTTTTATTTCTGAAGAACTTCCGTTCTGTTTTCCACAATGACTGTATCAAGTTACGTTGCCAGCAAAGATGTTACATTCTCACAAATGCTTGTTATCTTTTGACTTTTTGTTTTGTTTTGTTTTTAGATAAAGGAGACATTATTTTTCAATACTTTGTTTATTTGGGACTGGTGTTAAGGCTCAGTACTTTAAGCTGCCACCTGCAACATCAGCATCCCATATGACTGTCCCAGCTGCCTCACTTATAATCCCGCTCCCTGCTAATATGTCTGGGAAGGCAGCAGAAGATGGTCCAAGTACTAGGGCCCCCCACCACTCTTATGAGAGACCTGATTTCTACCCTGACCCAACTCTAGCTCCTGTAGCTTTGCCTTTCAAATTAAGAATAATCTCAACAGAATTTTATTAATTTGAGAGGTAGAGACTGAGTGCTCCCATATGCTGGTTTGTTCCCCAAAGCCCAAAGCTCACCACATTGAAGGAGTGAGCTGGGGTTGGACCAGGGTGCAGACAGCCATCCAGATCCCCTCCGTGACCCAGTCGTTGGATCCATCACCGCTGCCTCTGACAGCACAGCACCTGCACTGGTAGGAGCTGGAGTCAAACCCAGGCTCTCCAATACGGGACATGGACATCTCAACTACTGGGCTACACACCCACCCCTCCTTCTGATGTTTTGACTGTAGCCTCCCTGATGGCCATTGGTAGGTTTTCTTTGGAAAAATGTCTACTCAGGTCTACTCAGGTTTGAGTGTCTTTCCCCAGAAGTTCAGGTTGCATGTTCATGGTATTGGCAGGCAGTGCCTTGCACTAGATAAGCTCGTGGGGGTGGGACATCCCTTTGTCCTACCCATGTCCCTGACTGGTGTTAGCGGCATTGCCATAACAGAGAGGCTGACTGGCGCGCTGGCTGCCTCGCCACAGGAGGCACACTGCCTGCCAGGACAGGATGCACCAAGAAGGGTCTTGCCAGGGGATGGCCCAGTGCTCTTGAACTTGTTAGTCTCTGGACTGTCCATTTTTTCTAAACTGCTCAGTAGTGAACATTCAGTAACAACCACAGAAACTGGACTAAAACGAGATCCTTGCCCATTTTAATATAAGACAGTTTTTTCCTGCCACTGAGTAGTGTGAGTTTATCATCCAGGAGCCCATTGCTGGAGGTATGATTTATCAGTACTTTCTTTTATTCAAAGGTTTCTTCGTTTGGTTGACTGTGCAGCTTTTTAATTTGATGCCGTACCTCTGGTTTATTGTTGCTTTGATTGCCTGTGTGTTTAGTGCCACATCCAAGTATATCATTGCTGAGGTCATTGCCAAAGGAATGATTTCACCTAGGAGTTTTATAGTTTCAAGTCACTTAAGTCTAACCCCTGTTTCCTTGATGTTGTTGTGTAGCATAAGATATGGGCTCAATTTAATTCATTTGCATGCCAATATCCACTTCCTGCCCTATCCTTTATTGGAGAGATTATCCTTAGCCTGATGTGTTTTCTTGCTGTTTTTGTTGAAGATTAGTTGGCTGCAAGAGTTTATTTCTTGGTTTCCTACTCTGATCCAACGGTCTTGTGGGTATTTTGCTTTTTTTTTTTTTCAAGAAAGTTTTTTTTTTTACTTGAAAATCGGAGTTACAAAGAAAGAGAAGAAGAGACAGAGACATCTTCCATCTGGGGTTCACTCCCCAAATAGCCATGCCAGCTGGTTTGAAGCCAGGAGCCAGGGGCCAGGAGCTTTTGCCAGGTCTCCCACATGGGTGCAGGGGCTCAAGGACTTTGGCCATGTTCTACTACCTTCTCAGGCCACAAGCAGGGAGCTGGATTGGAAGTGGAGCAGCTGGGGATTTAAATTGATACCCATTAGGGTTGCTGGCACTGCAGGCAGAGGATTGCTGTGCTGTGCCACCTTGCTGGCCCCTATTGGTCTGTTTTTATGCCAATACTAAGCTGTTTTAATTACCATAGCAATTTTAACCTATTTTAAAATCAGGAAGTATGTTACCTACAGAACAGTTTTAATCTTCTTGCTCAAGATTGCTTTGCCTATCTGAGGTCTTTTGTGGTTCCATGTGAATTTTAAGTTTTTCTTTTCCTATTTCTGTGTAAAATACCATTGTAATTTTAACAGGGACTACACTGAATTTGTACATTGTTTTGAGTGATAAGGACATTTTGATAAAATTAATTTTTTGAGCATTTATTTATTTTTATTTGAAAGGCAGATTTACAGAGAGAAGGAGAGACAGAGAGAGAAGGTTTTCATGTACTGGCTCACTCACCAGATGGCCACAATGGCCGGATCTGGTCTGAAGCCAGGAGCCAGAGCTTCTTCCAGGTCTCCCATGTTAGTGCAGGGACCCAAGGATCTGGGCCATCTTACACTGCTTTCCCAACCACATTAGCAGGGAGCTGGATCAGAGGTGGAGCAACCAGGACTTGAACTGGAATACATATGGGATGCTAGTGCTTCAGACAAATGCCATACCACTGGCCCCACCACTATTCTTCCAGTGAAAAAGCATCAGCAAGCTTTTCATTTATTTGTGTATTTTTCTGGGTTTTTTTTGTGTGTGTGTGTGTGTGTGTGTGTGTCTGTGTGTGTGTGTGTGTGTCTGTGTGTGTGTGTGTGTGTGTGTTTTAGGGTTTCCAGGTGCCTGGGTTAAATTTATTTCAAAACTTTCGATGCTGTTGTAGATGCTATTGTTTTCCTAACTTCTTTTTCTGCTAGCTCATGGTTCATGTGTGAAAACACAACTCACGTATGTATATAGATTGTTACTAGTTTTGTGGTTGGGCTTCTGAGTTACCTGTATGTGAGAACTTGTCACCTGCAGGAGACAGTCCACTTTACTTCTTCCTGATTTGGGTGACTCTGTGTGTGTGTGTTTTGCTCTAATTGCGCTGATAAGATTATGTTGAGCAACAATGTGGTCTTGCTCCTGGCCTTAGTTTCGGCTTTTTGTCTTCCAGTGTGACACCAGCTAAAGACTCCTCACGGATGGCGTTCACCAGGTTGAGTTCCCATTTAACTGGTTCTCTTTCTAGTGGGATTCCAACATGTGACATCACCATAAAGTATCCTACTACCAATAAGATATAAATAGATTTCATTGAGAAACAGGAGTAGAAATTTGCTTAGCACACTATATAGAAATCAATGGTTGGATTGAGAATGAACTATTGACAGGTCAACAGAAAAGTCGTGAGCCCATGATTCTCCAAAGCTTTCAAGTAAATTAAAGACGCGAGAACTGTAGTAACCAACCTCACACATCCAGTGGTTCAGCAAAGAATTCAAAGCAGCTTCCTGCGTGGTTGCCAGGGACCCACGTACTTAAGCCACCACCTGCTGCCTCCCAGGTTGTGCATCAGCAAGAAGCTGGGTAGGAAGCAGATCTGGGACTGCAGCCCAGGCAGCCAACATGGGTTGCTGTGGCTTAACCATTACACAACAGTCCTTGCCCTCCCCACCACCCCAGCTATTTTCTCTGCCTTAAGTTTTCAAAGTTTAATTATGATGTGTTTCAGAATGAATTTATTTGGACTTATTCTGTTCAAGGTTTGCTCAGCTTCCTGAAGCTTAGATTTATGGGTTTTGCCAAATTTGGGAAAGCTGTAGTCTTTCTTCAAATGCCTTTTTTTCTCCCCGCTACCAGCCTTCTGAAATTTTACTGACATAAGCATTAGCTCTTTAGAGAGTTTAGAGCCCCAACAGGTCACTAAGACTTTATTCTTTACTTTTTTAATCAGTGTTGTTGTCCATATTTGGATATTTTTCTGTCTTTCATTCATTGAACTTGTTGTTTCAGTAATGACAGTTTCCATTCCTGACATTTCTTCCATTTCATCTTTGTTTATATTTCCTATTTCTTAGCTGAGTCTGTTTCTTCATTTGCTTGCCTGTTTGAAGTGGACTTACAATTACTCATTGAAACATTCTCAGGATGACCACTCTAAAATCCTCGTTGGTGCAAGAGTGAAGTCACCGCTTGAAACACCTGTTCTCCTACTGGAACACCTGGTTCAAATCCTGGCTGCAGGGCAAGCACCGTAGCTCAACAGGCTAATCCTCCACCTGCAAGCCAGGGCATCCTACATGGGCAACGGTTCATGTCCCAGCTGTTTCACTTCCCTTCCAGCTTCCTGCTTATAGCCCAGGAAGGCAGTAAAGCATGGCCCAAAGCCTTGGGACCCTGCACCTGCATGGGAGGTGAAGTGAGATCTGGAGGAAGCGCCTGGCTTCTGATCAGCTCAACTCTGGCTGTTGCGGCCACTTGGGGAAAGAATCAGCAGATGAAACATCTTTCTCTCTTTCTCTCCTTCACTCTGTAAATCTGACTTTCCAATAAAAATAAAATATTGTTAAAAATATGTACAGAATTAATACATGAAATGAGTCTTAATAGGCATTACCTATGTTCCTTTTGGAAGGTGGGAAAGGGAGATGACAGCATCCTATGTGGGCTCCAGTTCGAGTCCTGGTTTCTCTACATCCAACACACCACCCGGCTAATGCATGCGGAAAGTTATAAGAAGATGGTACAAAAACTCGAGCTGCCCCTGCACCTATGAGGGAAACCCAGCTTCAGCCTGGCCCAGTCTAGGCTATTGCAGCTATTTAGAGAGTGAACCAGCAGGTGGAAAACCTCTCTTATTGGGGGGTGTGTGTGTATCCTTCTCTCTCTGTAATTCTAGCTTTAATAATAAATAAATCTTGGGCCTAGCACAATGGTTCAATTAGCTAATTCCCCCCCTTGCAAACACCAGGATCCCATATAGGTGCTGGTTCATATCCCAGCTGCTCCACTTCCCAGCCAGCTTTCCTGCTTGTGACCTGAGAAAGCAGGGAGGGATAGCCTAAAGCCTTGGGCAGCTGTATCTACATGGGAGACATGGAAGAAGCTTCTGTCTTCTGATGGGCTTAGCTCCGGCCATTGAGGACATTTGGGAAGTAAAGCAGCAGATGGAACATCTTTCTCTCAGTCTCTTCTCTCTATAAATCTGCTTCTCCAATGAAAATAAATAAGTCTTCAATAATAATAAATAAATCTTTGGGAAAAAAAAAACAGGCTTTAGGGTTCAAAACTCAAGTAGGGATAGAGACGGCGTGCAGTGTAGCTCAGTGCCCCCCGGACTCTGACCAGTACCACTTTGTCTGCTGAGCCACCTGTCCCCATTCCCATTGAGGTATTCCCACGAAACAGTCTGCATGAAAAGTCAACCACATGGAAGTATATCTTAGTATTTCTCACTTCTGTGCAAAATGGTAGCAAATTACACACTGAATTCTGTATCTTCTGTTTCCAAATGAATCATCTGTAGACATTTTAGCAATAATGTCTTCTTTTACCAAGAAGACATTTGCTTTCTTTCCTTGGTGAAATTAGGAGAAAAGAAGGAGAAGAAATATTTATTTGAAAGGTAAAGTGATTAGAGAAGGAGAGAGAGGCAGAGAGATCTTCCACCTACTGGCCAGACCAGCCAGCCTAGGTGAAGCTGAAGCCAGGAACCTGGAATTTCATCTGCATCTCCTACGTGAGTGTCGGGGACGAAAGCATTTGAACCATCCATCCTCCACTGCTCCCTCTGGGACATTATCAGAGAGCCTGGATTGAAGGTGGGGAAGCCAGGGCTCAGATGGTTGTCTATGTGGGATGCCAGCACTGCAGGCAGAAGCTGAGCCTCTGTGCCACTGCACCAGCCCCTTCGTTATTGTTTTGCTTTTGTTGTTTTGTAGGAGGACATTGTGACCCTAGAAGGTCAGGGAGCACAGGATTACAGTTGATTGGATAATATTTGCATGAAAACAACCGAATGGCCACCTTTTGTATACCTGATTGGATATCATCTGTATAAGAACAGTTGAATGGACAGTATGTGTTTGAGAACACTTGGTGGAATATGCAAGACAAAAGGAGTTCCAAACAAAAGCATAGAAACTGTAACTGGGTTTTGTTGATGAGCTCAATACTTCCTCCGTTATCCCATATGACCCTCAGTGTATAAAGTCTGATGCCATTGATAAACTTCGGCTTTGACCATCAGTCAGGATCCACGCGTGTTATTATTGGCTCGGTGCTCCAAGTCCATCGCTGCAGGACAGCGACATTGTTGTTGCTGTGTTTAGTGACTTTCCGGGGCTAACCCTGTTCGCGTATATTCCTGGTAACATGCAGCTGGATGAAACTTCTGCTCAGTGAAACGGTCAGCTGGGGCTCACCAGAGGTTTCCTTCAGCACCTTGAGTGGATGAACTGCCCACCCTTTGCCTGTCTCTGGTAGACAGCTTACCCTCTGTCTTGCTCTCCACTTCCTGCTTGCATAGGGAAGGGTCACAAGTGAGACTGGGGCTCTCTCAGGTCTTGCCTGGGCATGAGCCCAGCTTTTTTCGATCAACAAAACAGGAATGTCCAGAGCCTTTTTAGCTCTCTGTGGACATCTTTTTTTCCCTTTTTAGGTTAACCTAGGCTCGTGTTCATCACAGGTGGTCTCAGCGCCTTCAACACCTATGATGTGGAATAATTGAATCTGATTATGCCTGACAGGGGTCCTGGGAAACTCGAGTGTTCCCCTGGGGAGAACTGCATGCCTGGTTATGTAATACCACCCCGAGATGAAGCTCTCAAAGGCGCGTGAGGGGCCGGCCAGGTAGGGACCTTGCTTGGATCTGTTCCCCACCCCAGGGGCTGCAAGGCACCTGCGGAGCATGAAGGAGCAAGTAGTTAGCAGTTCCCCATGGTCCTAACCAGCACGGGGCACTTCCTCTTGGATAAGCATTCTGCAAGTTGCTCTTAGTCTTTGTTTCATGTCCAAGTTTCCTGTTGCTGTTTTAGAAGAATGGTTCACAGCAACCCTTCCCCCCCTTCTTCTGTCCCATTCCAGAAGCCCCACCTCCGGCTGGAGGTTACTGTGAAACCTGACAACAGCAAGAAGACAAGAGAATGAAAAGTCTATTTCAGGAGTCACAGAACCCTTCTGAGACCATCCAGGTCCTCTGAGGTCCTGGCCACACCTTCAGGTGGGCGGTACCAGCATTGTCCACCCATTTCCTAATTAGTCAAGAGACCACCAATGGGGAACATCTCACCTGTAGGTTCCCCACCCAACAAGGAGGGGTCAAGGAAGGCTTAAAACCCCAAGACCCTTCCTCAAACCTTTGGTGTCTCTCTCTCCCTCTTTCGATAGGCACCCCACCTCCCGGCTTCTTTTCCGGAGGTGCTTCCCCTTCCTTCCCTTCCCTGCCCCCTGGTCCCTTCGCAAATAAACTTTTCTGTTTGCAACAGATTCCCGGCTTTTTATTTCTGTACTAAGCTGAGGAAAGAACCCACCGGGCATTTCTGGTAACACCTTCCAAAGTTATTTTGGATATATAGGGCTCCTGGCAAAAGTCAGTGGGATGGAGCCAGCCTTGCAACGCCAGATGCCGATACTAGTGCTGGTTTGAGTCCTGGCTGTTCACGGTTCATACAGCTCCCTGCTCCTGTGCCTGGGAAGGCAGTGGAATATGGCCCAAGTGCTTGCTCGGGCCCCTGCACATACTTGGAAAACACGGATGGAATCCCAGGCTCCTTGCTTCAGCCTGATCAGCTCCTGCCATTGAGCTTACTAGGGAATGAACCAGCTGCTGCCAGGACTCAAGCTAAGCCCCTGATAGTTGTCCAGGCACCCTCTTGGGTCCATGTTCTAGAAAAGGTCTTTCAACCCCAGCAAGAGAATGACCTTACTTGACCTTGTGTCTACTTTACAGAAGAAGCAGCTGAGGCTGCCAGGAGGGGAGAGAGGTCAGAGCCCAGAGTCACAGCACATATGGGTGGTGGAGGGGAGAATCTACTGCCGAGTGCACGACACCTGGGTGTCCCCCTGCTGTCATCATACTGACCTGCTGGTCCCTAGTTGGCTGTGGGCCAGGCACAGAGGTCACAGTCACACCCCAGAGCACAGTCAGTTTAAACTTGCTCTAAGGAGATGCCTCAAGCTAATAAATCCTCCACCTTGTCATGGAGCCAGGGACAACAGCAAAGTCACAGGTGGGCAAGGAAGGTTCTGACTTGAGGGTCATGAGGGCTGGGAACAGGGGGAGGCTCCTTGCTGTTCATTCAGACAGCCCCACCCAGTCCCCTGGGAGGCACCGAGGATCAGCTGAAGAAAGAACACAAGTGCTCAAACACCCAGGTATCCTGACCAACCTGCTACTGCCTGCTCCCAGCAACCGCAGTGAGGAGAGTGTAGTATACAAAAGAACTTCCTTGCAGGATAAGCTTTATTTTCACATCCCGGAAGCGGAAAAGAAAACACCGGCAACAATAGCGTTCAATTTCCGGGCTGACTCAGTTGCAGACGGAGGCCTGGTGGACGAGGCAGACACACAACCACTGCCTTGGCCCTCATCGACTGTAAACCTCATGGCTGGACGGAGATGCCAGCCAACTCAAGGGCGCCTTCCTGGAGGCAGCCAGACCAGGGACCCGGCCACACCTTTCCAAGGCTCGGCATATGAGCTGGCCCCATCCCTGCTGGGGAAAGGCTCAGGAAAGCCGCCAGGCCCACTACTCCTCTCTCTACTGTCCATCGTTGGCCAGGGCAGGCCCCTGCTGGGCCCTCTGCAGGGTACCCCTGCTCAAGCTGGGCCCATCTGGCTGTTGGCACTAGCTTTCTTCTCTCTCTCACGAGCCTTCCTCGGTCCCAGGAACAGGAACAGCCCTCGCTGGGGCCACCTCCTTGATCTGCCAGCGACACATGGGACACTTGGCTGTGTCCCTGAAGACCTTCCAGGCACAGTGGCTGCAGAAGTGTGTGTGGCCGCAGGGGACCAGACAGCTGTTGACGGCGTGGTGAAAGCAGATGACACACTCCTCGGCCTGTGGGACTGGGGGAAAGGAGAGACACTGGGGGTCAGAATGCAGCCACAGGGCAGAGGGCTGAGCAGTACCGCGAAAATCATGACCTCAAAGACACCCTGAAGATGTCACCAAGTGTCACAGCTGTGATGTACCTGCTAGGGGGTCTTCAAACAGTTCAGGGGAAATGTATGGGGAAAAAAAAAATACACTCTGCCTGCATTTCAAAATACTTTGTATCTCTTTGATTTGTTTTAATTCACAGTTTAATTACACTTTGCATGAATTTCTTGAAGTTACCTTTGTAGCCCTCCCCCACCTTCACTTTCCACGGTGGCAGCAGACCCCCTCCATTCTAGAAATAACTAATAATTCTTAATGACAGGCTATATTGTTGGAATTGTTTTCTGGGTTCTTAACTACTGTTTCTCTTTCTTGTGCCCCAGATATAGCGTGAGCGATCACAGGGGCAGGTTTGGATAACTAGGACGGAAGTGCAGTGTGGACAGGAATTGGTGCTGTCCCTGGTCTACCTGGTGAACCGTTAACATTGCATGTCGGAGCACCTGAATCCTGTCCCCAGCGCCACCTCCCGATGCCAGCTCCCTGCTAAGCAGACCTTTGGCAGGCAGCAGGTGAATGTTCAAGGCCTTGGGTTCCTGTCACCTGTTCAGGAGACCCAGGTTGAGTTGCAAGCTCTCAGCTTTGGCTTCCTGGACTAACCCTGACCATCACATGCATGTGGGATATGAGCAAGTATATGGAAGTGCTCTCTCTGTCTCTCTTTTTGTCTCTTTGTCTAAAAACAAAAACACAAAACTCTAGGCCCGGCCTTGTGGCACAGTGTATTAAGCCACTACCCGCAACACATCTTCCCATATGGGGGATGGCTTGTGTCCCAGCTGCTCTACTTCTGATCTGGTCCAAAGGCTTGGGCCCTTGCACCCACGAGGGAGACTTGGACAGAGTTCCTGGATCCTGGCTTGGCTCTTGGGGCAGTGAGCCAAGAGATTGAAGATCGCTCTTGCTCTGTCACTGTGCCTCTCACAAAAATCAATCTTTAAAAACAAAAGAAATCACAAAAGCACTAGGGGAAAAAATCCATTCAAGAGGTAATGGGTTAAAAAAAAAACTTTTTTATCGTTTTATCTTTATGTCTATTTGGCAAAGCGTTTCCAATGAATAGAGATCAGTTTTGCAAGCAAGAATACAGTCACATTATCTACTCATGCATGTGCTCTGGTCACTTGTGAAATTGACCCAGGTCCTGGTCCACACAGCTGGGAGGCTGCCATTAGGAACCTCTGCTACTTACCTGCTTGCTCAGGCAGCACCTTCTCCCACGGGGCCTGTGGCATGGCTGTGGGGCACCAGCTGACTGTGGGATCTAAGGCAGAAAGGACAATTCAGAGCCCTGAGAGAACTCGGCCTCCCCTCTCCCTTGGCAGCCTGAGGCCAGCAGCCAAGCACCTGTCTCCTTCTCCATCTGCAGCGTGATGGCTGGGCTTCTGGCCATTCCCCCTGGCAGCTACACCTTGTGGCTGTGACCTCTGCCCTATGCCCACCGCCTTCAGTCCTTCCTCTCCTCGCCACCACCCAAGGGCAAGCCCTCAGCCTCACCTGCATCCGGAGCCAGAGGTGCAAGAGACTGCCGTGGGGCCGGACAAACCTGGGCTGAGCCCACCCAGTGCTCCAGGACTGGACCGTGTGCCGAAGGACTGTGCGAACTGCCTGGAGCTGGGGATTTGGACACAAGGGTTAAGTGTCCCTTGGCAAGCCTCGGCTCCCCCTCCCTGGGTCTCCGGCTTTCCATCACTGAGATGCCATCCTGACTGTCGGCTCCTCTTCAGGAGGAACTGGCCAAGGACACTGAGTTGACGGTGAACCCAGCCGCCTCCCCTGCCCAGGCAAAGCTTCTAAATTGGGGGTTGGAACTCACAGGAAGGATCTGCTATGACCTCAAAGAAACTGGCCCGTCACGGGACATGCCCTCTCCTCACCCTGATGTAGACTAGAGACCAGCCCTTTCTGTTAACAGATGTGGGAGCCCAAACTGCAGCCAGTCTCCTTTTCTATTCTTCCCGGCAAAAAAACACAGCTGCTTCTCACAGGCCCTAATCCCTGACAACCATCCTTTGCTCTCCATGACCTGGTCACACTTCCTACCTACCGCTGGTAAAAGGAGACAGGGCTGAGATGTGGTTCCCAAGGGGCCAGAGCTGGTCAGAGTTGGCTTACAGAATTGTGGGTTAGTGGGTCCCTTGGAGCCTCTCCCCCTTCTCTGCCAGCCAAGGTCCTGTACACTCAGTCCCCTCATCCTGACCCTCAAGGAACCGTTGGGGGGTTGTGTTCTCAAAGCCCAGAAAGGGTTGCAGAGAAAGAGAGAATCAGGCCAAGCAAGGACTGAACTGAGTCCCCTAGCTGCCATGGTCAGATACACACACACACACACACACACACACACACACACACACATGCGTACTCACACCCACTCATCACAGCCATCTTCATTATAACCATTTCTATGTTTATAAATGCATTATCTCTGAGAATTTTCATATTTGATGTTTTCTTTATTTTTGTCTTTTTTCCCCCTGTCCTCTCTCTCTCTGGCCATGACATTTTACTTTCTTTCACCTTTTTTTTTTAACAAATAAATAAATAATAAAAAAGATTTCAGATAAAAATGAAGAAAAGGGCCCAGCACAGTAGCCTATGGCTAAAGCCTTGCCTTGCAAGCGCTGGGATCCCATGTGGGCACTGGTTTGTGTTCTGACAGCCCCACTTCCCATCCAGCTCCCTACTTGTAGCATAGGAAAGCAGTCGAGGAAAACCTAAAGCCTTGGGACCCTGCATCCATATGGGAGACCCAGAGGAAGTTCCTGGCTCCTGGCTTCGAAATGGCTCAGTTTTGGCCGTTGTAGCCACTTAGGGAATGAACCAGCAGACAGAAGATTTTCCTCTCTGTCTCTCCTCCTCTCTGTGTATCTGATTTTTCAATAAAAAAAATAAATCTTTTAGAAAATTAATAAAATAAATAAAAATGTAGGAAAAAAATCTTACGTACCACCTAAGGGATGTTTTTAAAACATTGCATAGAAATAAATTCACATGAGATGTGACTTGGGATGCTGGCTTCTGCCATCTCAAGGTGTCTGGGTTCGGGTCCTGGCTCCACTGTCAACACTAACCTCCTGCTCTACACCTCTGGAAGGCCACAGTGGTGACAGCTCAGGTAGCCAGGCCCCTGCCTCCACCTGGGGCACTGTGAGCAACTCCCAGATCTCAATTCCAGACGGCCATTTGGGTATGTGAATCCCAGTAGATGGGGGATTCCGGTCCGTTTCTCTGCCTCTCAAATAGTTAATTAAGTCACATCTGAAAATAAAATTTGCAGAAAGAGGGGATAAACTAACAGAACCAGGGCACACTGGTGTCTCCCGAGGGACTGTTGTGGTCTTAGGCAGCTAGTTCAAGGTCAAGAGCTTGAAAGCCACACCTCTTCCACCTATAGGGTCCGTCTCTTTTCTTTTCTTTTCTTTTCTTTTCTTTTCTTTTCTTTTCTTTTCTTTTCTTTTCTTTTCTTTTCTTTTCTTTTCTCTTCTTTCTTTCTCTTTCTTTCTTCAGATTTATTTTTATTACAAAGTCAGATATACAGAGAGGAGGAGAGACAGAAAGGAAGATCTTCCATCCACTGATTCACTCCCCAAGTGACCACAACAGCTAGTGCTGAGCCGATCTGAAGCCAGGAGCCAGGAACTTCTTCCAGGTCTCCCATGCAGGTGCAGGGTCCCAAAGCTTTGGGCTGTCCTCTACTGCTTTCCCAGGCCACAAGCGGGGAGCTGGAGAGGAAATGGAGCTGCCAGGATTAGAACTGGCACCCGGTATCCTGGCGCTTTCAAGGCAAGGACTTCAGCCACCAGGCCACTGCACCAGGCCCCAGTGTCCTTTCTGCCCACCTACAATGCCCTCCTACCATCACCTGGAACCTGAGAGGGGGTGGTATTGCTTTGTTGGGTAACCACTCCCCTCACAAGCCCCCATAAGTGCCCATGATGGGGGAGGGGCTCGCTCTTGGTCATGTGCTTCTGTCACTCTGGCACTGTGAGTCTTGGCCTCCTCAGTACCTCCTTGCTCTCCAGCTTCCCACGGAGAGACTCCAAGGACTGGTACCCCCTGTGCATGGCCCCTCTGTTCACTGCTTGGGTGAGTCAGTGAAGATGCAATGCTAAGATGCTTTGTATTTCTAGTTTGTTTGCTCTCAAGAGTTCCAGGAGAGGTGAGGCCTGGCAGTAATGCAATGTGGGCAGAGAAGCCAGGGAAAGGTGAATGTTGGCAGTTTTGTGATGTGTCCAGCCTGTTTGCAGCACGTCTCTTAGGATAATTTATGTTGCTGGGGAAGCTGGAATGTAGGTCTTCAGTTTAACTGATGGTTTCACAGTAACGACCACTTGTTCCTCTCAGGGTTTCGATTCAGACTGGATTGCCTGTCTCAGATGATGCCCGTAGGCCAGGTGGGCAGTTGTTCGAAACCTGGCTGCTGCACTTCTGATCCAGCTCCCTGCCAATGCACCTGGGGAAGCAGCTGAAGATGGCCCAGGGACTTGGGCCTCTGCGTCCACATGGGAATCGCAGGATAAGCTCCTAGCTTTGGCCTGGCACAGTGCTGGCCATTGTGGCCGTTCGGGGAGTGAACCAGCAGATGGAAGATCTCTCTCTGTAATTCTGCCTTTCAAATAAGTCCTTTTAAATTGATTATTTATTCATTTGAGAATTAGAACAGGATAAAAAAAGAAACAGAAAGAGAGGCAGAGAGACCTTGTCCATCTGCTGGTTCACTCCCCAGATGGCCAGGGCCAGGCTGAAGCTAAGCAGCTGGAAGCTGGAAGCTCCTACGTGGGTGGCAGGGATCCATACACTTGAACCATCCTCTGCTGTTATCCCAGAAGCTGGGTGGGAAGCAGAACAGCTGGGACTCTCATCAGCTCTCCAATAACAGATGCTGGAACTGCAAGCTGGGGCTTAACCTGTACCAGCCTGCCATGTCCTGGTCCCATCATAAATTCTTAGAAGACTAGTCTGTCCTCCCTATGACCGGGCCTGGAGGGGCTGATATCTCCAGCACCATCCTCATTCCTGGCACTGGGCAAGGACTGACAAATGAAGTGTCTCCCGGTGGCTCTGAGTGCATGAGGGGGCCACCCCAGCCTTCATCTCTAACCCTCACCCTCAACTGTCTGCGTCCCCGCGGTCGCCTCACCCAGTATCTCGATGGCTTTGGTTGTCCCGTAGATGTCCATCACAGCCCAGAGGGGCGCACCCAGGAGCACGTCCCTGCGCAGCAGGAATCGCGGGGTCCTGTTGATTTTGGCGTACAGCCGCCCCCGATGGTCCACCCAGAAGCGGATCAAGTCCCCTACTAGCGCGCTGCCTTCGGGCAGCATGGCCGCCCACGTGGGGCTCTGCTCCACCAGGTCCGGGCACACGAAGGGTGGCAGGTTGGAGGCGGAGATGCATGCGGGATCCAGGCGCGTGAAGCCCACGCGGAGGCCGCCGTACCAGCCATCCTCGCGCTGCAGCACGCGCAACGCGACGCACTTGCCGGGTCGCACGGGTCGCTGGCTGAACACAATGCCATCGTGGAACGTGCCGCACCTGCTGGCCGTGCAGCCCTGCGCGTCCAGACGCACCTGCCCGCCCTTGGCTTGGTCGTGGAAGCGAAGAGCCTCTTGGGGTTCTGGGACGCCTGTGGGACAGGGACAGGGAAAGCAAGATGTCATTTCCTCAGGGAACTCCCACTTCCGTAGGGACCCTGGCACCTTAGGGTCTTCATGTATCCCAGGAGCCCCCTCAACACTCCTCAGCACCCTAGTTCACTTTGCCCTCCCCTGGGAGAACCATTTCTATGTTCCCCAGCTTATACCTCAACCACACTGCATCCCTACACCCGCAATTACCGCTTAGAGCCAAGAGGACATTATCGTGTTTGGAATCTGAGTTACCTCTAGAACCCTCCCTAGGGATGCTACTCACTGTTCTGGCTTTGCTCACGCCCAGCTCCCAGCAACAGCTTCGGGGAACTTAAATGCTATGTCTGTTACATCACATGCTCTCTATGCACCCCAACACAGCCTGGGGGTGAAAGGGCCTCCGCAAGCTGTGGTCCATCCCACTCCAGCAGTTCCTGGCTGGGGGCCGTGTTCCTCCCACTCTGCTTGCTATGCTAATGTCGTCCAGTATCACCCCATGATGGTCACAGCCTGATTATTGGAGCAAAATGAAGCTTGTCAACCTTCCCTCATAGGCTGGAAGAAAGGGGGGGGCGGGTCCCACATTAGCTCCTTAAAAGTCTGGGTTGGGTCTTGGGCTGGAGTGGGCTTTGAGAGCCGGGAACTTCCCCCATGCCTGCAGTTTGCTGTCATCAGGGCAATTCCTAATTGGGCAGGATTTTCCACCCCCACCCTACCCCCCAGGGACTGGAGGAAGCAGGTACAGCTTCCTTGCCCAGAACTGCCCCCAGCCAAACAAGTTCTCAGGCCCCCATCCCTGCCTCTCCCAGCCCCCTCAGGTCCTGTACTTTCTGGGTCAGGGGACAGAAGCCGTGGACTATTTCCTGCTGAAAATAAAGTCAAGGAAATTCACCCAAAACTTGAGCCAGACCCCAGGCTGCAAGGGGTGAGGCATGTTCCCTGCCCCCAGACCTGGTCATTCACCACTGGCACAGCCCCTGATTTGGCACGTGGCTGCCACATCCCTTCAGGCACCCCCACCCTGAGACAGGCTGGCTCTGTTCTGGCACAGGAGCACAGGCCCTGGGGACATCCAACTTCCTGAAATGGCACCCCAGTCTTAGGATCTCTGAATAGGTCCTTCACAAAGCCTAGCATGTCCACTGGCGTGCCCCCTTGCTCATGCCCCTGACCCCAGTGTCGCCTGCTCCTGATCTGGCTGCTGCCTGCAGGGGCTCACCTTACCCACAGAAAGCAATGGCAGGAGCTGCCTGTAGCCCTGGGGTCCTGGATGGAAGGCCAGGGGGTTCTTGAGGGCAGGTGGCTATAACCCAGCAAACCCGGGACGGGGAGACCACCCCCTCCCTCAGCTAGGTCACTGGGTAAAAAGAATTGGGGTAGGATTGGCAAGGAACCAGCGCAGTGGCTGTGGTGGAACAGCTGACCCTGGAGAGAGCAATGCCATCAAAGCCCTCTCACGCCCCACCACCACCCAAGAGGTAGCAGAGACCCCCTCTTGACAGCAGGCAGGCAACTGGCTCATATCCCACCAAAGGCAGGGGCAAACCTAGGTGTCAAATAGGGGCTGTCTCTGCATCCCGGAGGGCAGCCCATACAGAAAAATGGGTCTTCCAGGGCCTGGACCACCAGAGACAGGCCATGCTCAGCTGCAGGGGCCTGGAAGAGGGACCAGCAGAGATGAGCCTGGCCTGGCCATAGATGGGCTTTCCAGCCTGTCCCCTAGGCAGGTGCCAGGAACACAGGCTGACCCCTGGAAGGACCCATTTTGGATACAGGAAGGTGCTAGGAGCAGACCTAGCTCCCAGAAGGTCTGGGGAGGAGGGGAGCTCCCTGGGAAGCACCCCAGTAGGCACATAAGTCTCTTGGCAGGACCCAAGACCCCCCAGGGGACCCTGGATGGGAGTCTGGACATGTACAAAGCTCATCCCATCGCTGGTGACCCCATCAGCCCCTGGGAGCTGGCTCCCCATGACCCCAGGGAGGAACCGAGGGGGTCAAGGGGACACGGATAAATGTGCAGATACCTAGTGGTCAGGGCACTCGTACAGCTTCCTCGTGTTGCCCAGCCGGACTCCGCTTCCTGCCTCAAGCTGGCCCCTGAGCATGGCCCAAGCATGGCCTTGCAAGGCTCCTGGAAGTCCGCTCTCCAGGCACCTACATCCTCTTGTACGGTTCAGTTGATTGGTTACTGTACAAGGTCCAGGGGCAGTGAGTCTGGAAGCTCCCTCCTCCTGCAGGCCTGTACAGGCTCACACGAGCATGCCCCATCCCCAGGGCGCTGGCACCTGAACTGTGAGCTGGATCACAGTGGCATGAAAGGTGTGGACATCTGCCTCCTCCACCCTGCTCGAAGGCCTGCTACTCCCTCAGGGCCCCTTACCCTTTGCCCCAGTCAACTCAGAACACCCGACTGCTGGGCTGGGGAGTGGTGGCGTAGGTATAGCTCGGGAGCTGCCCCTGGGGTAGGAGGGCCAGGTGCCAGAGCACCCTCACACCCATGGGTGCAGTTCCTACCACTGGCCCATTTCCCAGCAGACAAGCACAGTGGCTATCCACAGAGGACCTTCCCTCATGAACCCGTTCCCTCATAAGCTCCCGCTGCAGCTGGGGTGAGGCCAGGTGCCCAGCTGGATAATAACACCTTCACTGCCAGGTGTTAGGGAAGGCTGGTGCCGACTTTTGTGTATTTCTATCCCTGGACAGATAGACCCATCCAAGCTGTAGGATCTTTGTGGTGACATTCTGAGAATAGGGGTGGCATGGGACCAGCCTCCTACTTGGCAAAGACCTGGCTAGAGCAGCATCATCATCACCACCCCTTCAGCTGTCAAGGCTTCGGGGGTACCAGGCACCTGCTAAGCCCTCCTCACAGTCTTGTATTCGCCCCACCTTGCAGGCACTCAGACACGAGTAGTTCACATTCTCTTGGCCAGAAGAGGTGGGGAGTGGTCCCGGTCAGCTTCTTGCCCTGCTCGTACCTGCAGCCTGCTTCCTTTAGGACCCACCGTGGCCATGGAATTCAGTGTGCAGGCTAGTGTGAGAGCCTTAGGGGCCCATCGGGGCCAGGGGGTCTTGCACTGAGGATCACAGCAGCTGCAGGCATGGCTCTTGGGGGACCTCCTTGGCATCTATTGCCCTTTTGATCTGTGCATCTGCAGCCCTGCCTGCTGCCCAGGTGGGCTGCCTCAGCCCCACCCTACAGATAAGGAGGCTGAGGGTCCAACAAGAGGTGTCTGATCCATGACATTCCCTCATCCCCAGCTTAACTCAGCAGAGCTGGGATCACTCGTTTTGCTCCAAGCTTCCCATCTTTCCTGTTACCCACCCAGCCACGAGGATGTGAAACGCAAATGGGCCGTGCAAGTCATTTTATCATTGCAAGGATCCTGGATCCAGTTCCCTAACCCCAGCTGGACTCCTGTGTAGGGCAGCCAGACCAGGGTGAGATGACATCTACCACACCTCCATCCCATCCCATCCCTCCCTAGCAGGCGGTGACACCCACCCTCCACTCCCCAATGCATGCACCTTACAGTGGAAGCAGATTCAGCTCTACTCACCGATCTGGGTGCAGATTCGGGCGCCCATCAGACTGGAATCTGTGCTCAGGTGTCTAGGTCTGGGAGGAAAAGTGTGTTGAGGGCCAGTGACCAGGTTTCCAGAGATTCCGCAGGTCTCCTTTTTATGGCCCCAGGATCACGTTACAGGGTTGATGATTAATTAGATGTTGCTGTCACGAGTTACAATATCCAGGGAATTTCCTGACGAGTTCTCACAGCTTGTCGCTGACCCGCCCTGCGGCAGCTGGCTAGCCTGTAAGGAGGAAACTGGGATCCAAGGCCGGAGATGATTCCAGGGCAGCCTTCACTCCTGGGTGACCAAGGACAACTGGGCTGCACCTTGAAATTACCAAAGTCATGTCAACATGTAGCCATGCCCAGCCCTGTCCCCCCAAAGCTTCCATTGGCTTGGGGGGGACCCAGACATCAGTGGTTTGTTTGTTTTTCTAGATTTATTTTTCTTTATTTGAAACGCAGCGCAGTTCATTTCATGGGTGCCGCGGTTTAGATCAGCCCAACCTGCTCCCAGATCCAGCTCACACATACGACAATGGATACTGCTGTCTTGGTCAGTCTGGCCCACCTCCAGACCCAGTTCTCATGCTCACCAGTGAACTCAGCTAACTAGAGCTGCAGCTCAGCAGGGTAGTGCCCACAGTTCCCCTACCAGGACTGCACCCAGTCCCAGACCTTGTACCTGCCAGCGAATACTGCAGTCCAACCTTACATGACTTGCACCCAGTCCCAGAACTTGCCAGTTGGAGCTGCTGGCCCACTTCTATTATGGCTTCTCTCTCTCACATCAGCAGGTACAGCAGCGTAGCCAACCCAGATGCCAGCTGATGGGTGTTGTAACTCTGTCCAGCCCAGCCCATCCCCAGTCCCAGCTCTCACACTCACCTCAGGAAGCAGTAACCCAGCAGGAAGGTCCACAAGGTTCTCCTATCAGGCCAACTCCCAGCCCTAGGTCTTGTGCATGCTGGCAGGTGCTGTGGCCCAGCCTAACATGGCCAGCTCCCAGTCATGTCACTTACTAGCAGGTACTATAGCCTAGTCAGACTGGAGTGCATTCCAGCTCTTACCACAACTTAACTCAGCCTAGCCTACCTCCAGACCTAGCTCTCATGTGACCCTGCAGTTATCATGGCCTAGCCTGTCATGACCAGCACTCATCTGGCTCTCGCAAGTGGTAGCCCATCTGGCCTTCCCCTAGCCCAGTCCACAGGTATGCTGATGGGTGCTAACTACTCCACTTTCAAACCAGCTCCCTGCTAGTATACCTAGGAAAGTAATGGAAAATGGGTCAAATCATTGGGCCCCTGCACTCACATCGGAGATTTGCTGCCCAACTGGGTTGATCTCAGGACCCATTTTATACACCCTAGGTTTCCAGCAGGGAGGAGGGGGCTCAGCAGACACAAGGGCTCAGAGCCAAGTGTCCCTCCTCCTGCCTCACAGAGCTATTCATCAGCTTTTCACAAGTCGCAAGTCCCCAGGAGTTGTAAATGGTCCTACAGGAGGCGGTCACACCTAGACCCATCTCTGCAGGGTGTCCACTCTGACAAAGCACTCTGGACTCATCCACCCCGTGATTTCTGCAAGGGAAACTGAGGCTCACAGAGGGAAAACAAGAGGTTGGCTGTCACCCAGGAACTCCCACATGGCGACATGGTCACAGACCCCACCTAGGTGCTACAGGCATGGGCCGAGCGAGTGGCTCCAGAAGCCTCCCCACACCCATGGGGGTGTCAGGGCCTGAGGCTGGTATGAGGGTCTTGTGGTCCCTAAGTCAACCTCCTGACTGAGTCCCTCCCACAATCCCAAATCGAGTTCACTGTCAGCTATTGCCCTGGGTGCAGTTCAGGGAGGGCTGGCCTTCACGCATGGGCTCTGGCTGGGGTGGGAGAGGACGGGCAGTTTGGAGGCCCAGTTTCTGCCTTGGGTTACCTGGGATGGCTCCCCTACCTTCCCTAGAGGCCCCCCACCTCAGTGTGTGGCACAGGAAGACCAAGGGAGGGGCCTCATGTTCCATGGCTTTGGTCAGAGGGTGAGGGCAACAACAGCCATTCCCTGGCTGATGGTCAAAGGCATTCCTACAAGCCTGAACCTTCCCACCCACCCAACACAGCCCCTGGCTGGGCTGTCTCAGCATCTCCACCGGACCAGGCTGCAAAGGCCAGTAACCCTGTGCAAGGATCAGCACAGGGGCAACAGCTCCAGCTGGCCCGACCTGAAGTAAAGGGCCTCTTGGGGTGGAGAAACGGAACTTGGCACCCCACACAGTGCCCCAAAGGTCTCCCTGGTCTCTGGGAGCTGCAGGGCCTGCGACTTCCTCCTCACACTTCCCAGCCCTTGGCTCTACCCGCAGCGCTGGTCACTTCAGGTGGTTTCTGGAAGGCTGAGCCCACCGTGTGTTGTGGATAAACCACATTCCCAACCCAGAGATATGTACAGCAGCTCCCAGATGCTGTCACTACCCCCTGGCCACCTGACCAGCAAACTGCCCAAGGCCAGGAGGCCAGGTGGGCCGGGCCCTCCTGCAGATCCCAACTAGCAGGGGTAGGCGGCCCAGAAACTAAGCACTAGGGGACAAGACCCCCTTCTACACATTCTCGAGTTTCATGTGACACATCACCCCCCCAAAGAGGGCACCTTCTTGGTGTGTGAGAAGACAACAGAAGCAAGAAGCCCACGCTCAGACACGGAGACAGAGAGAAACTGAACAGGCATGCTGTGCCCCACCCCCACCGCCCTTTACCCCTAGCCCTGTATCCCATCGCCCGTCCACACCTGCTCTCTGCTCTTCAGCAAACCAAAGGGGGGAAAATGCTTCCCTGCCCCTTGCAGTCTTCATTTCCAAGGGCTCCCATGTTGTGGGAGGATTACATGCCTCCATACCTGTGTCTACTTCTCTCTTGTTCACCTGGCTCACGTGATGGGTGGAACCAGAGTGAGGAGACACAGAACCCAGGCGCTTCCGTCAGACACCGCAGCTCCAAGCCTGGTGTCATCCGTAGTAACATGATCGTCCTGGTAGCGGCTCCTCAGATGCACACAGTATTGTATTGCCAAGGGATCATAACCAACCCTCTTCTGCCCACTGGGAAACAGAGGCACAGAGAAAATGCAATTGGTTTATGATCACAAGGCAGATACATGCCAGAACCGACATCTGGCCCCAGGCTCTGCAGCTCAAGAGTCTGTACCTTCATTGGCATGTTATCTGTAGCTCCTCCCTTGGGACGCTGGGCCCCTTGTACTAAGTATTCGTTGGTGATACGTTTCCCCCATCCGTGCCCCCCTTGTCGCATAGTAGGAGCTTTAAGGATACTAGTTGGTTGTGTGCACGCGAGATGGAGGCTGCCGCGAGATGGAGGGTACATCTTTCTTTCCCTTCCAGGGTTGTCCACACCTCATAGCTGGTAACTGGCCAACTGAGGTTGCTAACGTTCCTTCCAAGAAGGACAGGTGCAGTCTGCAGCCTGTGGCAAGCGGTCGGGCGGCCCCTGCTGACTGCGGTCAGTACTGCAGGATGCCGGGATGCCCTGAGTCTCCGCTGGGACCCTTTTGTATCTGTTCCCCATCGTGAGGAAATTTCAGAAGGTCCATCGAGGTCCCTTGTGGGACCAGGACTGCAGGTACAGTCCACAGCTAGCACGGGCTTGTCAGGGCCAAAAAGGGAGCTGAGAGCTCAGCAATCCTGGAGGCCACAGGGCTGTGCTAGCACCGCCCCCTAGTGGCAGGAAGCAGAGCTGACTGTGAGTCTGATCACCTCTCAGGCAAGGACAGTCCTGGCCCGTCCAGACCCAGCCCTGGCTCCTGAGTCCTGCTACCCTAACGGAGACCTCGGGAGGCAGTGGTGATGGCTTAAGAGACTGGGTCCCCACAACCCATGTAGGATGCCTCAATTGAGTTCCCAAGCTCCCAGTTTTGCATACATTTGGGGAACTAAACTCACGGATGAAAATGGTCTCACTTTCTGTCTCTCAAATAAAATGAAAACTAAAAAACAATTAGCATTTGAACAGACAAGAAAGGGACCAGTTTGTGGTGTAGCAGATCAAACTGCCACCACAACAACCAGCATCTCGTCTGTGTTTGGACCCCTGACATCTATACAGGAGACCCAGATAGAGTGCCAGGCTCCTAGCTTCAGGTTAGTCCATCCCTGGCTATTGTGGCCATTTGAGGACAAAATCAACAGGTGGTAGATGTGTGTGTGTGTGTGTGTGTGTGTGTGTGTGTAACTCTACCTTCCAAATAGATTTTTAAAAAACATCTTTGGAAAGGAAAGCATTGTGGGAAGCTGGGCCAGCGCATGCAGAGGCGGATGTGCACATGGCTCCTGCCACACTGTGTGGCGGTTTCAGGACCACACTGCTGCACACAAAGGATACGCAGGAGAACAGCAGTTTGGGAAGGAGCAGACATTCTTTTACTTCCCACATGAAATCAGCTGAGGTAAGCCAAGCAGGGCAGCCATGGCACAGGGGCACCCAGGCTGGCCGTTGCCCAGCTCCAGCACTGGCCTGTATACTCAGTCACTTTATGCACCCAAAGGGCTGTGGACGCTCCACTTGGCACATCACAATGTTGGGAATAAGGAAGGAAGAAGACTCACAGGGCCCATGTCTCAGCTCAGCTGGCCGCCCTGTGAAGCTAATTTGCTGGAAGGCTTAGGCAACATTTTCATTTACAGCTTCTTGACTGTAAATTACATAACGTGGCCATAGCTGGTTGTCATAGAATCTGAGAAATGAAGCCTTTGTTTAAAGGAGTTGCTGAAAAGCGGGCCCTCTTACATTTTTTAAAGGTTAAGTCATGGGTCCGGCACTGTGGCCTAATGGCTAAAGTCCTTGCCTTGAACGCTCCAGTGATCCCATATGGGCACTGGTTCTAATCCCAGCAGCCCCTGCTTCCCATCCAGCTCCCTGCTTGTGGCCTGGGAAAACAATTGAGCACAGCCCAAAGCCTTGCGACCCTGCACCCGCGTGGGAGACCCGGAAGTGATTCCTGGCTCCTGGCTTTGGATCAGCAAAGCACCGGCCATTGCAATCAC